ACCTGAAATCCGCCCCGCTGATTTTCAGAAGGAAGATACCACCCAGCAGCTGACGAAGGGTAACGTGTCTTTGGAGACAAGTATGAGGGTAGCTTCCTGCCTAGCAGTGGTTTCCAGATGCTGCAGGACATGTTCTGAGCCCAGAGTGTCTCCCTCTTTTTAGGGAGAGTTACCACAGATCACACTGTGATCCTAAGAAGGTAGAACCAGGAACTCAGCAAAGAGGCTGAATTTTACACAAATTAGGCACTGCTGAGCAGATGATAGGAGGTATTTTGACAAGCAAGGCCTCCTGCATGCCCCTGAGCTTGGAGCTGTACCACACGCCTGTCTTCAGTGTCAGCTATTAACTCCTTACGAGTATTACTATGAGGGAGGGCCATGCTGGTGGTCGGTCTATTAAGTCCTTTTATGACCTTTCTTGGTAGATCCCAGATGACTTACTTGTCTTTAAGTTGCCTAGACTCAGGCATTTCTCTGTGAGGTCAAATTTTGATCTCAAATAAGAATCCAATGTTATCTGAGGTTCTGTGATTCACTCCAGATTTATACTGGAGTCAGAAGAGCAGAAATATTATTTCATCATTTCCTTCAGATAATAAAACTTTAGCAAGGTTTACCCCAGACCTTTCACAGCTGTTGACATTCTCATTAAGCGTTTTGTCTCAGGGGCCTCACTAAACAGTTCTGCTGGCAGATGGGGAGTTTGTCTAAATGGATTGCAACATAAAATCAGTTTATTTGTGAAACAGCCATAGAAGCTGTTGAAATTGAAACAAGGCCTCTCGTTGTAACTCAGGAGGGTCTCCCTTGCATCTTAGCGAGAGAAGGACCAAAGCTTCTCCGCAGAGTGAGGTGAAGTGGGTGCTGCTGCCCCAAGGATGATGGGCCAAGGTGGGTTCCCTCTGCCAAGAGGACAGGAGGGAAGAGGGAAACAAGGATAAAGGACTGGGAGGTGGATTTCTGCAGAAGCAAGCTTGCAGGTAGCAAATTTAAAGCATGCAGAATGAGATAGTTCTTCACCGAGCTGTTAGGACTCAGCTTCGCATTAAGACACCCAGATGTAGGGGTGTACATATCTAAGCTTCCATGTGGAAGCTCAGGCAATACAGTCAAAGGGGCAGGAGTCTCTTTGCTGTGCAGTTGCCCATTGCTACCTGAAATGCTCTAGAGCATCTGAGGCACCGCACAGGGCTGGCAGCTATGAACCCAATACCACTGACTTTATCAGCTAGATCACCATGGATGGTAATGAGAGCTTAGACACTGTCTACGCACAGACACCACCGTTTAGATGTCCGAGTCTCTACCTGAATTCCACCTACTGTGTGGTTCATCTGTTGAACTCCCAGCCATAGAAGGCTGTGGATATTAATTCAGTCACCTAAACAAAGGCAACTAGCAGCATTTGAGACACCTAGTGATATCCTGCTTCTTGACCCAGAAGGGCACAGGTCTGCTGTGCATCCTAAAGTCCTATCTGCCAGCCCTATGCCGTTGGCTCAACTACTCTAAGGCATCTCTGACAGCACTACACACTGATGTCAGGTCACCTAACCAAGCCTTAAACGCCTACAGGGGTGCAAGAGGAGGACAGACACATTCTTGGAAGAGAAATACAGGCCAGGCATGGTCACAACCATGTGAACCAAGCCGCCAGCACCACAATATACAAATAAGACATCGTAGGTGCAGGGGGGCTAGGTTGTGCGCACATGGACGAGAGGCAGCAGCACGCAAAGATCTCTGATGACGTGTATGTTCAAACGAGCATCTGATGCTGAACTCTCCGCTAGGCTACCTGTGTGTATGGGGTGTGGGTGAGAGAGAGGAACTAAAAGCAGCAGCACGCTGCAGGAGGTCCTAATTGCTGTCTGTGGGCAGAGACTGAACACCGTCAGCTCCAGCTGGGCACAGCTCCAGCTGTGGGCAGTGTCCATCAGTGCTGAATCTGGCCAATTAAAAATTAAGGAGGGCTCTGAAATCTTGCCTTTTAGCATCTTCTAAGATGGATAAGTGGCAGGTGATGACAAAGTTGCCTTCTATACAGGCAGGCTGCAATAAGCCCAGCCAGGAACACTTAGGGTAGGACCTACCTGAGGGCCAGGGAGTCCACGGGGACCTCTTGGGCCAGCTACTCCAAAGCCGATTTCTCCCTGCGGAACAGAGACAACAGAGGTCTCATTCGGAGCAAGGGCACCACATCCCTTTATTGCTGATTACTTGGACCATGATTCAGAGATCACAAGGACTGACTTCCCCTGGCTTTCTGCTGGATCATCATCTTGCAAAGAGAGTCCAATTCAAGGTAGTTGGATCAAAATCACTGCCTACTCCCTGTACAATTAATGCCCTGAAGCAAAGTTGGCCAAACTGGGAAATGCTAGCCACTTTCACGCAGTCCATAGATCTCGGAGCTGAGAGTGCCCACTGACAATGGATATACCTGTTTGCCCAGCAGCTGGCAATGGCACCCAGCAAAGAAATTTTGTGGACTCATATCAAAGAGCACAAGATGAGATTCCGTTGTGGACAGTTGGTGACACTGCTGTGGCTTTGCAGTGCCCACTCTTCCAGCAGGTAGCATTCCAAAAGCATGGACAGCAGCTGGTGAATAGCAGAGGGCAGCATGAACACAACACCTTACATGGGTCTACCTGCCACTTAGGATTGAGGTCACTACTGGTGGCTCTTTTGGTCCTCCCAAAAAGAGAAAGGGCTGGTGGACTCAATCCTCTCCAGACACCAGAGAATCCACAGAGGAGACCAAAACTGAAAACCAGTCTCCAGATTTTACCCCTATGGGCCCCAGCCACCTTGAGGAAGAAGGGCATGAAGGTGAAAGAGGGATGAGATGTCTGGATGGGGCAGGGGTAAGGAGCCCAGGGAGGGCAGTCGGCTGTCCCTTTGCCACCCCAACATCTCCGCTACTTGTGAGCTGACTGGCAGTGTGGCACTCACCTTGTTACCTTTGGGGCCAGGTGCCCCGGGAATCCCCTGCAGGATAAGGAAAACAAATCAGAAGAGAGGACCTTGCTTTGCAAGGCCTCCATACTCTTCTGTCCCACTCAATGCTCCAGGAAGGTAAAGGCACACCTGGCCTGGGCACTGGGCCTCAACCGCCCTCCAAATCACAGCTAGGGCCAAGCAGCTCTCGCTGCATGCAGAAGCACAAAGCAGGGGAGGTGAAGAGATCTCGCTCCAGGGAGGCAGGTGGGAACCAACAGGAAGAATGACAAACTCTCCTGTTAAGATCTCTTCCCCAAGGACCTTCTCCCCTTCCACCTGCATCTCCAGATTAGACCTTCACTCCCAGCTAGCCCCTTCCCCTCCCCAAGGATTGGGATCCCTTGCAGTTTGGGTTCAGCAGTGTTCCCAGAAGATGTTTCTTTCACCCTGTGAGAAGGATCATAACATGGAACAAATATTACCATCCTTGTGCAGCTCAAAAGACACAGGGGTGATGTGTAAGTCACCTCTTTCC